AGCTCCCCTCTGTCTTCAGGTACTGGCATGAAGTCCAGCTGTCACCTGGATGTCAGCGGGTGACTCTGCTCTCTGGGCAAAGTACTGTGGTCCTTGTCCAGGATCTGACCGGAGTCTCAGTGTATATAATGTATTGAGCCCAAACAGGCTTATTTTTTGATTTATTAGAATGACATTGGTTAATACAATTATGTGAGTTTCAGGTGTACAGTCCTTCAAAACATCATCTGCATGTTGCATTGTGTGCTCGCCACCTGGAGTCAAGTGTCCTTTCGTCACCACGAATTAGAACGCCCTCCACCCAATTCAACACCCACCCCCCACCCCCACTCACACACACCACTTTCCTTCTGGTAAGCACCATTCTGTTGTCCGTGTCTACGGGGTTTTGTTAGTTTGTTTTTGTCAAACAGGCTTATTTAATTATTTATGTATTTCTTGGCAGGCTGGGCTTCCCTACCAGATGAAAACCAACGAGCTCACAAACTTCACCAAACTGGACACCTTGATGTGGCTCAATTTCCCCTCTGTAAGTGTGGATGATTATAGTGCCTATTTCACGGGCTGCAGTTCAGGGGAAATGATACCTACTGGCTGGCACAAAGTCAGCATTTTCTTCACTTCCAGCTTGGGAGTCTCGCTGTACATGAAATACACACAGGATGATTCTCGCTGGGGAAAGGTGTGGTGGAGAATACCGCACCCAAGACAAGAGTTTGGTCAGCCCACCACCCTGATTAAGCAGTTCCTTTGTGCCAGGTCCTGGGGACGGACGATGAAAAACAACTGGCAGCGGCGGGCAGACACACGTGTCAACAGCGTGACGAAACCACGCGGTAAGTACAGTAGCACAGGTAGCCTCCAGGTGGTGAGGCCCTGACGCCACCTGGGGCTGTGAGAGGAGGCTTCACGTGCCAGCTAGTGTTCAGGCTGACGCTGAATGGAAAGCTCTCGAAAGACAGTTGGGAAACGTGTTGTAGGAGAGTCGGCATCAGAGTTAGATGAGCACTGGCTTAACCCGAGTGACAGGATCGCCAAGTGACTGAGAACCTAATTCTGGAATTGGAGAGACCCTGAACTTCCACCTCAGCACTGTGCCATAATAACTGGGTTGCCATGAGCCAATTTCTAATCTTCTCTAAGCCTCAGCCATTAAATAGAAATAGTAGTGCCTGCCTCAAAACATGGTTTCAAAAGTTAAATAAGACAATGCACACAAAGTGTTTAGCACGGCACTTCACACACAGGAAATTATTGTAATAGCAAATGTTTACTAAGCACCTTCTCAATAAATCTTCTGTGTTATTAATATTATCTAGGAAATGAGATGTGCCTGGCTAATGAGATTAAGTTTTACCATTAGCAGGAGAGAATTCTGGGAGATTTTAAGGAGCAGGGTAAGCTGGTCATATCTAATCATTAGAAAATCACTTCCAGATAGTGGTAGGGTGGAGGATGGTCTGTAAGGAAGGAATCTACAGACACGATGAGTATTAAAGAGGCTATAGGGGCTAGGGACACCGATGATGTTTTTGGGCAGCAGTAAGCAGGAAGGAAAGAAAGGAGACCAACCCCAGTAGTACTTGAAAAGAACAAATAAGAGGGTATGGTGACTGATTCAGGTAAGGTGGGACAAGGTGGTAAGAGAAAGTCACAGAATTACTCCCAGATTTCTGAGAAGTAGAAGGAGCAAGTTTGGATGGAAAGACGATGAGATCAGCTCTGGTCATGCTAAGGGTGCTCCTAGGGGAGAGGCCAATTCGTCAAGGGCCTGAAGCTCAGTAGAGATGCTTAGAGGAGCTATCACAACCAGGAATTCATATGCAGTGAAGACGTAAGTCATGAGCGGGTACATGCTCCTGATGGAAAACTAGCAGAGTAAGAGACTCCCTGGAAACAGCAGTGTACAAAGGATGAGCAAGAGAAAGAATATCACAGTGGAGAGAAAACAGAAGTAGGAGTGAGGAGCTGGGGCTGTCAGGGAATTTTCAAGGAGAAAATGCAAAATGCAACAACAGCAAGACCAAGTGAGTCACAGACAGAAAAGTGGCCAGCAGTTTGGGCAATGAGGTATGGGGCGAGTTTCAGGGATGTGGAAGTGAAACTTCCAGGAATTAAGGAGAAAATAAGAGGTAGAGATAAATAGAATCTATTCTTTTAAGAAACCTGGCTTCGGAGGATGAAATGAAATACATGGCAATAGTTAGAGGGATGTGAGGTCAGAGGAGGGTCATTTTAGTTAAATATGAAAGATACAGGAATAAGAATAATGAGCTGATAAAAAGAGAAGAATATGCATATTTTCTGGAACATTCCTTGGACCTCATCTCATTTCAATTACTCATCATCACTTCCATTTTCAGTGGCTCTTTGTCCCTCAACTGCCAGGCCACACCTCAGAGGCTTTTCTGACCCTTGAGGCCTGCCCCTGCTTTTACACAGCTTGGAGGTGTAACCCCAGCCCCACATACCACAATTTCAGTATGCGGTGTTGTTAATGTCACTTCATCCCAATCCTGTCCCTTTGAGACTCCCAGGGTGGACCAAAGCAGGGGACAGGCAGTCCTCTGGAGACTGCTTGATTCCTGGGCCCCTGGTGTTTCTTTTTCCAGAAGCTACCATGTGTCTGCAGTTGAGCAATGCCCCACAGGGCACATACACTGTACAGGACCAGCTGAGCATCCCTGGTAGCTGCCAGAGGTGAACTCACCTCACATGCCTGCTCATTCACAAACGTTCCACCCTGATGCTATACAGGTAAATTCTTCCTGATTGCCCAGCTCTCTACAGGTCCACAGAGGAATCTGGTCAAGCCACCAGAAACCCCCTGCCACAGCTGGAGAAGAAGAAAGTCAGATGGCACATCCAGTGGGCAGGTATGGCAGGGTACCCAAAGCATTCTGTCCTTGTGAACACATCTAGCCAAACACACCCACCCTGAAGTTCATCTTCAGTTCTCAGACCCTACTTAGAGCCGAGACTTTAAAGGTAGGGTATAGTAAGGTGTGAATGTCAGAGAACAATTTGGGTTATGAATAAGAGAGATTCTGTTTCCTATTCCAGACAGTAATTAACACATGGTCATCTGACACCAGACCATGAGTCAAATTGTCCAAGTCACAGCTATGCCTGAGGGAATGGGTACAGCAAATGCATTCCCCCCAACAGGGTGGTTTCGTGAACCGGGAAAAGGAAAAAGGGTTGGGAAACAGGTGCTGTCTTCACTAATCATGCCTCCCCTGAATGGAGACACAAAACCCCACTGTCCTTGGAAGTTCCACATTCACAGATCTGCTTCATCTGCCCCTTCCAGCACCAACCCCAGGAAATTAGACAGCTATAGAATCTGCTCCGAGGCATTTTCATAAGGATGGCAGTGTCACATATGATACTACATCCTGTGTGAGTAGCGGTGCCACAGCTTCTAATTTCTACAGAACACAGGAACATATTCTCCAAGCCCCAAGCCAACACAAACACACACACACACACAGAGCCAATGCCTTGCAGTGAATTTCAGCAGGTCTCTCTTCCCAGGAAATAAATTCAGGCAACACTGAGACCCACAGATCCCAACCAACTGACAGCCAGACGTACAGTCATTACATACTCATTTGTGTTTCTACTGCATACCACCGTGATTGTCCCTGCCCCCAAAGGCTGCATGTGCACCTTTAAATCTCTACCTACCTTTTATTTTATGAGTCCACATACATTTAAGTGGGAATTTCGAGTTCTGAACCAGTGCTGTCCAATAGAAATTTGTGTGAATATGTTCTATACCCGCATAGTACAATATGGTAGCCACTGGCCATACATGGCTACTAAGCACTTGATATGTGTGGCTGCTGCAACTGAGGAACTGAATTTTAAATTGTATTTCATTTTAATTAATTTAAATAGTCACCTCTGGTTAATGACTAACATATTGGACACTGCAGCTCTAAATAATTCCAACCAAGCGGACTCTAGTGCTGGAGCACAAAACTGAGCCTTTTCAGCTTCTCCAGGGGTAAAGGGGAAGGTGCTGGGAGACAGGTGCTGTCTTCATTGCTCAGGCTTCCTTTTGACCATTGCCTCTCCTGATGAAAGAAGGTGAAGGGATCAGCCAAAGAACATATGTGCATAACTCACAGGCACAGACAACAGGGTGGCGATGGCCTGAGGGAGGGGAGAGGCGGGGCTGCGTGGAGGAGGCCACAGAGAGAGAAATGAGGACATCTGTAATAGTGTAAACAATAAAAATAAAGTTTTGGTTGTTTTTTTTAAAGACAGCCACAATGTCACCTGGAAGATCCCTAGGTTGGGTGAAGACACATTGAATGTTGACTGAAGATGCATTGGGTGGGCCCACTAACCTCTCCAAGGGGAACCACGGCACGATGGTCAGAAGCAGCTGAAGATGAGCTTGAGAATGAGGCAGGGGCCAGACCGAACCGAATGAGGTCCTACTGGGGTGTGGGCTACGGAAAGGAAGCAAGAGATGGGGTAGAGATGGAGGTGGAGAGAGAAGCTCCCTCTCTGTGGGTTTAGAACTTTCTCTCCTACCCCATCACTGTAAATTATATTTGCTTCTTTTTAAAGATTTTATTCATTTATTTTTAGAGAGAGGAAGGGAGGGAAAAAAGGAGAGAAACATTCATGTGAGAGAGAAACATCGATGGGTTGCCTCTCCCATGCACCAGGACTGGGAACAGAGCAGCAACCCAGGGATGTGTCCTGATCAGAACCCAATAGTGACCTTTCACTTTGCTAGACGACACCAAACCCACTGAGCCACTCCAGTCAGGGCTCATCACTGTAGATTTCAGTGAAAGGACCATTAAGCATCTCCTAGAGGAGAGCAAACCTCTCACTCTGAAGAGTAATAAACTGAGGTCCAGAGAGGTAACTGAGTTGGTCCAGCATCATATATTGAACCTGTGGCAGAATCAGGACCAGAACCGGGTCTTCCTCTCTCTCACCCACAGGTGCCATCCTCTCACCCCCAGCCAGCTCCACTAAAGGAAGGCAGAGCTACGGAAGGAGAAATGCAGGTAGACAATGAGTAGACAGAGAGAGGCCCAGAAGAGGCACCAGCGGAGAGAGAAGAAGTTGTAGCCCGAGCCCTCCTGGGCCTTTGTCTTGGAGGCATCACAGAAGGTGTAGGTCGCCTCCTCCTCCAGCAGCTTCTGGCTGGGCTTCCAGTGCACGATGCCCTCCTGGCAGGCCTCGCAGAACTCGCTGCGGTGAGGCCCGCTGTCCGGGCGGCTGGCCACGTGGATGCGGTACTGGCCAGCGTCCTCATCGTAGCATTTCTCGCGCAGGCTGGTGATGAGATTGTCCACCAGGCCCTCGATGTTCTCCTCCAGCATGCTGGACTCATCCAGCCTTGCGGTTCCACATTGGTAGCACAGCTGCTTGAAGACGCGCATGCGCACCGAACCCATTCGCTGTGCACGGTCCAGGTGCATGTGGAAGAGGATGACCACGTGGGACGACTGCCAGGTGTGCCAGCACCAGGAACAGTGGAACCTGCGGGGACAGGGGCAGGGGAGAGGGATATAGAGAAGATGGGCCTCCCTCCTAGCAGCAGCTTGCCTTGGAGGAGTCCGAAAAGAAAGGGCCCTGTGTGCCTGTGCACTTGGGCTTCTAGCTAGAAGCAGAGTTTATTGCGCGCTGGCTTCCTTAGCACTTGAGCCTGCCAGCTCCACCTCCCCAGGTTGGCTCCCGGGGACCTAGAGCAGCACAGCATCCTCAGGAGCCTGGCACAGGAGCCATCTGGCTTCCTGCTACGTTTTCCAGCCTGCCATCTGCACACTCACTGGTGGCCCCAGCTCTCTCCAAGCCTAATGTGTTCGGGACGGGCATGGGATGTTGCAGTGTTCACTCCCCTGATCTGGACCTTACTCCTCCTCTGGGGAATGCAGGGTGAAAGTGTCCAATAAAAAAGGTCAGACCTCCTGTGACTCTGATAAGGGGGGCGGGGGGGGGGGCGGTGACCAGCATATCTCACTCTAGTGAATGTCTGCTCTAGGGTGAAGAGGAGATCCCTCTAACTGTGCCAAGCACAGACCACCAAGAATCCACTGGCTGGACAGGTGGGTGGGTGAGAGGCAAGCAGGAGGAGGATTGTAGAGTTTGGTCCCTGCTCCTTCACAAAGAACACGCTCTGTTCTTTGGCCTAGCATCCCTACGCCCCACTCCACCCTGCAGCGGAAACTGGAAAAGCGGATCCTGCTCTGCACCCCTTTCACATACGTGCACACACCAACACTTACCATGTTTTCTAACCTGGGGTCCCCTAGAGTCCTAGCCTCTGGAAACAGAGAGAAGTGGCCTGGGGATCATCCAACCACCAGCCCCCACCCAATGCTTTCACACCTGCAGTGACACAGCACTTGATATCTCCAGGAAAGTTCTTTCTATCCCTGAGATGAACCTCTCACAGGCCCCTGTGACAGAGGCTTCACAGGCAGTCAAGGGTCTATTGGGCTGAGTCTGCCCTCACTGCTCACCCACTCTGGGGAAGCCTGCCCCTGAGCCCTGCAGCCCACACCCCGCATAAGCACAGAACTGTACCTAGCACAGCCCAAACACAGATGCCAGGAGAGCAGCCTGACTGGTCCTGAGCCAGAAGGGCCCTTACCTCCATGTCGGCCAGAGCTGCAGGGAACCAGGACTCGTGTCCCAAGGCTTAGAGGTAGAGCGAGCCTATGCACAGAATAAGGACAGAGCAGCAGTCCTACAGTCCTGCCTGAGGCCAGGTGGGGGACACAGGTCACCAGCCAGAAATAGGACCAGCTGATCCCTGAGGCAAGGGAGCTCGGCCTCTAAACTCCTGGGCCATTGCGCCCAAGTTTCCAGCCCTTTGCACTCCTCCCACCAGCCAGCTCAGAGGCTTCATGTTTGTAGCCTCCTCCTTCCACACCTCCTTACATCAGACCAATTCAGAGTTGTTTCCCACCCCCCAGACAAACCTCAGATTGTAAATCTCAAAATATCAGACCTAGCAGTAGAGGGCCTTAAGGACCATCAGGCTTTCACTTTACTGAGATGAAACAGAAGCCCGGAGAGAACGAGAGCTCTCTGTGCACACAGCCAGTCAGACACAGCCAGGACCCAGCACACAACAGGTGTCCGATACCTGTCTCTTGAACTGATTTGAATTGAATTGAACCAACCAACCTCCGCCTCTCTGTCTTTTGTCCCAAAGACAGGTTCACTCCAACAGTTACAGGTCTTGGAACAAGAACACAAACGTAAACTCCCCATTCACAGTCTGTCTCCTGTTCTCACCGTCCACATCACAGGGCACCTGAGGGGCTTCACACACAAAACATGTCTGAACACACTGTGCGTCTGCACCCCTGGAGCACAGCCACCTGTTGGCCTCCCAGGGACCTAACAGCTCTGCCTGTCTTTGAATCGATGGACCCAGGGAAGAGGTCTGCACAGACCCTGGAGATGAGTGTGAGGCAGCTTGGGCAGCAAATGCTGTCGTCCCAATCTCACATCACGGAGTAGAAGAGGGAAAGGCATGTGGGCTTCAGATGGATGAGTCTCCTTTGCCTTAGGACTGCTGGCACTAACGGCAAACACACAGTTCCTATAAGGTATGTCAGATGCTGGGCCCTATAGACCTATGGGAAGTCCCACCTAAAGCTAAGTCTTTTTGTCACAGACTCCCAGATAATGGAGCTGGAAGGGACTTGATTGATCATCTAAGGCCAACCCCCTGATTTTGCAAATGTGAAAACTGAGACCCAGAAAAGGAAAGTGACTTGCCCAAGTGGGCAGAGTTAGCTAGTTGTAGATCCAGGTGAACAGTACATGTTTTGTATTCAAATCAAACTGGATGGAGCTGACTGAACAGACCTGGGACCAGAGCACCAGCTCCCATCCTCAGCTAAGGCTTTCCCTAGTAGACCTTGCAGCCTCCTCCCCTCAGTTCCCACCACTCTTTAAGGGATTATGACTGCAGGGGCATTGAAGATATTATAGCTCTTCAATTACTGTGGAAAACAAAGAGAGGAATATAACTTGCCAGGGTCACCCCAGGAGTCAGTGGTACAGCTGGGATTAGAAGCAAGGCCTCCTTGACCTACCTCACAGTTTCCTCTCTGCCCCCTACCCTGACCTGACAGCCAGAGGAGGTTCCCACATCTCTGCCTCTGCTTGGAAGGTGCCCAGGGCTGTGTTCCAGGGGCTGTCTGCAGGGCCTGCTTTCCGGGCCTCTCACCTGCCTGAGGCATGCTGCTCCAGGTACTGCTTCCAGCCAGGGGCCAGCTCACTGGGCTTGAGGCTGGGGTCTATGATAAGTTCCCAGCTGTCAGCTGGCTTTGCCACCTCCATCTTCTCATAGAAGACTTTCTTCCACTCACAAGTGGTCAGACTGGTAGACATAGCCCTGCTGGCAGGGGTGGAAGTTTGAGCTCCACCTGAGTGAGAACACAGAAGCAGCCCAGGTAGGTGCAGAGTGGTTCAGTCTCTGTGGTCTGAAAATACTCATCACTGGGACCAGGAGGAAACAGGACCCAGCCACCGCCTTTGTCACCTTGGAGCCTGTTACTATGGCAGCTAAGCAGGGGGCCAAAAGGCAGGGCTGAGGAGGAGAGAGGTCTCCAGGGAGACTTATGGGGCCCTGAGCTGAGCTTGGGAGGCAGGGCTGGGTGTTAACACCAACTAAATAAAGCAAGCTGGGGGTGGGAGGCTCAGCCCAGACCAAACTCACCCTCACTTCCAGAAACCTCCAGGAGGCAATGACAACTCAGCAGCCCTGCTTCACCCTACTGCCCTTCCAGGCATTCCCCCCATCATGGGCCATGGCAACTCTGCCACCCTAGGGAGCCAAGAAGGAACAGGGATGGAGATGCAGAGCCTGCAGCTTCTACGCCCCGGATGAGCTGGGACCATCGTTTACCATGTGCCAGGCACTAACTGCTTGACCTGTGTGCCATCCCAGGCTGGGGTTAGCTTCGTCCAGATCAGGAAACTGAAGTGTACACAGCTCTATGTAGCTCATCCAAGACTCACAGCAGGCCTTCCAGAATGAATCTTGTTTGTTCATTTATCGCAGTACTGTTGAGCTCCCAGCGCACAGGGACCAAGAAAGAAGTGACATGGTGCTTTTGCTCAGGGAGATCTGAGACTAGTTAGTGAGATAGAATGTAATTTAACCTGCTGTGAAAAGCACAGTAATAACATTTTAGAGTCATAGAGTCGTAGAATTATTGAAACTCATATTTGGTGCCTGGTCCCAGGCCACCCTGAGGCAGTTGCTGCAGGAACAAATTCATTCTGGATTGCAGCGTCCCGCTGCCTGCGCTGATGTTGAGAGGCCAAGCAGTAGGGTACCCACAACTCCCAAAGGCCCAATTTAGAGACTTCAGGGACTAGGAAGGAGCTTGACCACAAATTTGCATAATCTAAATGAAGACGCAATCACAAGAGGGAGAGAGGCAACCTCAGCAGAGAAATGATTAGGTGATTTGGCAGCTTATGCCAAGTCCGCCCCAATGTCTGTGTGGCCTTAACATCTGGTCACTTCCCCCATGGACTTCACTCCTCTCACCTGCACAGGTAGTGCTATGCTGCAGGCTGCCAAGGCCTCCTCTGTCTGTAATTGGCCCCCAGACACGTGGAGGCACACGCAGCAAAGACCATGCAGAAACGAGAAGGGATGCTGGGAACCACAGAGTAGTGTCCAGTGTTGAGCTGCAGACTTGGCACTTGTGTCCGGGCGATGTTTGGGTGAGGCAAGGTCGGGGACAAGACCACTGGGTTTTCTCTGGGAATGGGGAGATGTCATCTGCTAGTTTTGTACTGACAACCTCAGAAGGGACAAAACTATGAGTTAGAGCCCTTGACTGACAGCTCTAGAAAGGAACTTTATTTTTTAAAATATGATTTTTAAATTAAATTCTCTACCTCTTAATCTAGCTCTCTTGTCAGTGAATTACTACATCTGAAGTTCGGAAATGGGAAGTGAGTGGCCCAGGTCTCAGGACTGGGCTGCTCCCACCTCCCTGGGCCAGCCATCACCCAGGCGAGGCCTGAGGACCCTTGGGTTCCTAGGAATGGGATGAATTGAGGAGTTTAAGGCCTTAAAATCCAGTCATATTTTGCACACTTGAGGAGTAAATCTCTGAGAAATACTGTTCCATTGTTCCCAGAACAAATGACAAAGAAAAAAACCCCTGAAATGATGGAGGGTGAGAGTTGGCAGGGTTTACCTGTTTCGTTTTGCCCAAGTGACGCCATGCCATGCTCCTTAGGCCTAGAATCAGGTTTAATTTAGAGTGGGAGCCCTCTAAGCAGAAACAAATATAATTCACCTCTCTGTACAACAGCTCTGCTTTCTCTAAAGAAAAAATCTCACTTGTGATACAATTAATGAACACAGTTACCACTTCAATTTTCTGAAAATGTCACTGGGTTCCTGTAGAAGCTAGAGTTTAAAAGTTCACTAAGGCATAAATGTCTATAGCTGTAGCCGCATTGCACACTGGCAGTTTTGTTATGCATTGCTGTGGTATTGTTAATTTATATAATACTGTTTAAAATAAAGGAATTTTTACTCTATCATAAAATAAAACACTATTAACCTATGTTCTGCAAACAAAATTAACAAAGGAGAATAGGGATAAGAGAACTAGTCCCCTCTCCAATTTGGAATGAGGGTTAGTAAATACTTTTGTAAAACATCCATTACTTAAATGTTACTTATTAGAATAATATAGAGAATGTCAATACAGAGCCTAAAATATAAAAGAAATGAAGAGCTGGGGGGAGTGTAAGTAGATATTACCTGGGGGGTATTGAAAACTCTGTATACGCTTACCCGAGATTTTAACACATGGTCTTGGCCGGGGCGGCGTTTGGGATGTATGTAATACCACCTCAACCCACCCCAGTCCTGAGAAAAAACAGCCGTTGCTACTGCTGGGAGTATAGGCGGTAACAACAGGCATCTTGGGGCTGGAGAAGAAGAAGGAGGAGGGAGAGAAGGTAGAGGAGGGGGAGGAGGTTGAGAAAAACTGAATGAGTAGTTCAGAATATTTCTTAAGAAAAAAATAGGAGAAATACAAGCTATGTTCTTTCTTCCCTATTTCTCCACAAATTAAAGGTGCATGGGAGGTGCCACTGGGCAAATCTGAAGTCCCCAAGGAATCTTTTTCAAGAGCAGTTAGGAAGGCCTCTCATCCCCAGGGTGCAGTGCTCAGAGGTGGCATGGCTCCAGCTCCATGCTCGGGTGGGGAGTGACCTCTGCCCCTGGGAGGGAGGGGGCATTCACATAGTCAGAACAGCTCATAACTTTCAAGCAGTGTGTGCAGTGAAACAACTCCCAGGGGAGATTGCCTGTTGCTCTACTATCAGTTTTCTGCAGCCAGAATGATGCAGGCAAATTCTGTTCTTGTTGGTATTCAAGGGTCCAAATGCTATTGTCCATGCTTCAGGCACCCCCAAGTCTCTGTGAAGGGTGGCCACATCTACTGTCACTTTTTTATTATTCTAGGCAGAGATTTGGTGAAGAATTGTCATGCTCTTTATGGGAAGTACATAAATCAAAAGAGTGGGGTGGGAACAGGATCATTTCCTGAAAGGAAAATAATAATGACAATAGTAATAATAATAGTGGTAATAACAATAGCATGGGTTGAGTAAGGGATTTAGTGGTTCAAGAAGGAAAAATATCAGTTCTTCCATGAGAAGAGACTGTCGAGCTCAGGGGCCTGGTGATGCTTTTAGGAGACACAGCCTACACTAAGTTCTGCCCAGGAGGTTGAGGGCCTCCACCAGAGTTCCTCAGCGATACCTAGAAAACCCACCAGTTTCTGAGGAGCCGAGGCTCCACACATGCACACACACACACACACACACACAGCCACAACTCCCCTTGGACTGTCCTACAGATTATGGCAGAACAAAAAGGAAGCATGGGCAAGCTTAAGCTAGCTCTCCAAGCTTCCACTCTCAAATTACTTTAGCCACTTTTTCTCACATTCCATTGGCCAAATCAAGCCAACCCTGCAATGGAGCAGGGAAATATATCTTGCCAAAGGTGGGTGGGGCATTTTGCAGAGGGGTACCAAATATTTTGACAATAATAAAATCCATTACAGCATCCACCTGAATGATGGCACCCTCCTAGAGCAATGGAGTTACCTGGGTTCTGTGGTGCGGTGTAGTCAGGCACCCTGGGCTCAGTTCCGACTCTTCTTTGAACTGCTCTGTGGACTCAGTGTCCTATCCTAGGACCACCTATTCTAGATTCTCCAGGAAGATCTGCATTTCAAGGCCGCTGCCCTTATCTCTCTTAAAGTACATGTAGTTTGAAGCCCATGAGAAACTGGGGTCAGCACATAAATATGGTGAACTTTAATCTCGTCCCTTGTAGATCCAGCCCTCAAGTCCTAGCAAAATGGTTTTTACTGAATTCTCTTGCATATTTGGGCAGAAAGACACATTTGTGATAATAATAATTAACAAAATAAATCATGCACCACTACAACATTTCAGAGGACAGCATCTTTGAGATTGGCAGCAAGGATGCTGCTACTCAGTCTAGTTCCCATATTTGGAAGACAGGTTTAGAAGGAACAAGCTTTCTGATGACAACCAGTTTTAAAATGCTTCTCAAAATGTTATTTCTAAAAGTGTTAATAATGTGACAGAAGGGTAAAGCACTGTTAGGCTGAAATAGGCCTTACTGTGTATGTCCTTTATAATTCACGTTAGATGTGAATTCCAGTAACACAGGAGCCATGTAATCCGTCTTCACGAGTGGGATTGAAGGGGAGCTGTGACACTCTTTGCTTCTTGGAGCTGGGCTCACAGTCACAGGTCTAGAAGGTTGTTCTTCCAGCCACTGTCATCTGAACACAGTGCTAGTTATCAGAAAGAGGGGAGGCTCTGAATCTACCCGGAGCTGCTCTCGAGGAGGATAGCTAATTTTTAAATAAAGTTCTTGCTTCACTCAGATATACCAGACATGGCAAACACCACTGTGAGAAGCATCCCTGTGCTGGGGCTACAGACCAGTCTCGCGCTGGGGGTGATGCTGCTGCTCATAAAGCCCTTCAGCAGCTGGACTTGAAGGACATTGTTTTTTAAATCATATAAGTTCATGCTGACATTTTCCAATGGTGTTTTTAACATTGCTTTATTGCAAAAATATTTTAGCCCAACTATAATTTCAGAACTTTCTGTTTATAAAATGATGTCATAAATTAGTTTTACTAATATAAATCATTGTTTTGTCTGTCAATAAAAAGTTTAAAATTATGACACCATTGTTAAGACTATCAAAATGCTATATAATTTTACAGTAATTATGGTTATTGTTAATCATTAATATTTTTGTATGTCCTACTCATTACATACAGTCAAATCACTTTATTTCA